TACATCAAAAGTAAATTAGATCAAAGAAGCAAAAAAATTCAATAAAAACAGTTTATAAATTGTCAAAAAAAATTTATAAATAAAAAAGAAAGTAGAAAATTTTCCTACCCTAGGACTCGAACTCGGATCTCTCGAATGTGAGTGATGCCACAAAAATGAAGGGCCGCAACTGGGGCCATACTTAAATTTTTTATTTCATAATTTTTAACTCTGAGAGGAAACATTAATCTACAGATTTAACGATCATTAGTTAAGTACCCGTTAGAGCTAATTTAAGGAACGTTTCTGAGTGCGGCTGTTAATCTTAAATAAATCAATTGTATGTTTTCAGAATGCTTTTTTGTAATTGAAATTTATTTCGTAGGTTGTAAACGATTTTGGTCGGATTTGGAAGAAAATTGGAAAAATTTGTTAGTGACAACGCTGAATGCCATGATTGTATGTACATTTGGATTAACACTTATTTAATAGTTTTTGTGCCTCTGTGCTTTTCTCTCTTCTCTTCAAGCCACGATGCTTTAATTTGGAGTGTTAGTAGTGCTTATGATGATTTTCAAAGACTTTATGCGGCTCTTGATTTCAACCGCTTTTGTCAACTCCCGTTCAGAGCTCCAATTGTTGGAACAGTACATCTTATTGCTTTGCTTTTATGATCTCTTCCTATTTGTAAATATTTGTAAATTAAATATACCCTGTTTTGAATACTTGAAATGTGATCTAGCAAGCACTTCAAAACAAAAGTTTTAGGGTAATTTTTAAACATTTGCTAATTGAAAGTTTTTATATGATTTTTTAACATTTTTTTCTTAAAAAAGTGTTTAAAACTTCGATATTTTTTAGTATTCGCGATCCTTTTTTCGGTTCAGTTCGGTTTTTAACAGACCTATCACAGATTCCGAGTGAACTCCCGTCGTGAAAAAATCTCCCGTCACGAATTCGGGAGAAATGCTATCAGCAATTCCGACGCGCTGACTCACGCTGACTTTGGTTTTTGTTTGTTTTTATGTGTTAGTTTAATAATTCTAAATTCAAATAAAACAAATCACAATAAAATAACTCGAAATCAGTGATACCATTCTCACGATTAAATTATAATTAAATATATTTTTAAATTTATTTTCTTTACAAAATTTAAGAATTTAATTTACTTACATTCACTCGAAATTCATTTTGGAAAAAAATGTGAAAATCAAACTCGGAAAGTGAAACACAGAACACCAATTGTCAGAATCAAAGTGAATTATCTAATATTGGTATAAACAAAATCTCTCGAGTCATTAAAGAAGAATTTCAGAAATTTCAGATTCTTATTCAGGGAAAGTCGAAGGTCGAAGAAAACCTTATCCCATTTCTACAAATGCCACGCCGAGTATACGATAATGTAGCAATAATTTTGGTCGGCAATGGAAAGTGTTGGAAAATATCTTCACCATGGAGGAGAACGCATTGGTTATCATTCATTCACATTCATAATGTCACTCACACGTATTTTGGCACAGTTGTATTGCTTGTAACGTGAATACCGCCCATATATTTAGATACATAAATACATTAGGGAGGTTACAATTTTTTGTCTTCCAGCCACTCACGAAAAAGAAGAATATCGAAAATAACGAGACCCATATCTATTTATATTACTTCGAAATTGGTTATTATTCATTGGTGTCGTCAAATCTTTAAAGTTTCCTAGGTATTTTATATTAGGCAAATGTATTTCATCGTAAAATTGCCATAAAATCGTTACAAAAAAGTTAAACAAATTTGTTGACTTGTTCGCGCCTACGAACACATATGATGTGATATGATATGTATGTAAGAGGATAATCTTATATCCAAAAAGTTGTGAATTTTTGGACCACCCTACTGTACATACATATATCTATTAATACGTACCTACATAAATATGTATGTACCTACATAAATATCTATTTGCGGTTGTCCTTCAAATAGACGCACTAAATGGCGAGGAGTTCAGGTCTCCTGTGATAGAATAGCGCCAAGTAACTAGTAGTTACTTCACGTTGCTGTACTTCACTATTTTCGATTTCTTGAAAAAAGTGCCATTTAGGCACTTCTATCCCTTTTTAAGTTAAGTTCACCTTTTGCCTCGCTTAACCTTAAGTGAAATATTTAGGAAATACATATCATACACAAGGACAACATGAAGACACAGGAAGCAAATGTTTAACAATGAATTACAGCACGAGCTCAGTAGCGGAACGAACTCTTCGTTTTGAAAAAATTTTCTTGTGAAAAACGTCCCTTTCAAGTTCAAGTTTCAAAGCCGCGTTCATTATTTCACTGTCACTGCTTTCTCTGTGCCTTTCCAGATAAGAAAACTGTCACTTACAGTCACAGTCACAGTCACAAGCGCATACAGACGCAACCAAACCGTTAGCAAAGTCGTTTTGCCAGCAATCCGCTGCGAACAAGCAAATGTAGAGTGCTTGATGTTTGGGTGCTATTTGCGGATGGAAAACAAAATGACATTTAAATATCCGTTCTGGCGGAAATTACTCTACAGATTATTTTTGCCTTATCGTCTCATCGACGTCGTAAACTAAAGCTCGATCTAAAAAAAATACACCACAACAAAATAGGCAACGATTCAAGCAAAATCAATTAAAAATTAAAGTGCTGGTATGGCATAAAAACCGTTACAACAGGTTGTCAGATTTTACACACGGTACTGGTTACACACGTCTGTATATTAATAGTCGCCTTCGATTCGCCACTTCTCTGCTCTGCTATGTTCCAGTTCCGCTCGCTTTACCAAAATTTTTTGATGTGAAGGCAACAACAACGTTAGCTAGTAGCGATGAACGATTGCGAGTTAGTCTGGATACTTACTAACTCATTGATTTCGCTCGTTTCGCTACTCGCTAACTACTCGATGGCGGCTAATGTTTACATATAAATGAAAAAAATTAGAGGCCGGTTCCTCTCTTATGATTCTAAAGGTTAGTTATTACGTTTAATGTAAAATGTAGAGGATCTTTTGCAAAAAACCGTCATTTTAGCTCATCAGCTATGCAATTCGTTAAGATTTACATATGTTGGAAACAAAACTCATGAAATCAAAACCAAAAAAAGTTGTACGATCGACGCTTTTCCTGTACTAAACGACGGTGGATACAACGCTCGTGAAAGTATTTATACATACGTATATACATACAATTTCAAAAAGGGTTTTCGCATTTTTATTCGATGCTTTCTTAATTGCACCTAGAAGGGGTGTAGATGGTTCAAAGCCAGCTTGCCGTTAATTTGCTTCGCGGGTCGACTATTCATATCGTCTTCAATATATTTTAAATAAAAATATGTCAAAAAACCCATGCAAATACATATGTATATCCTGGTCGATGGGTTCAGGATTATGACAGCCCTAGAAGCTCAGTTAAAGATATGCAATTTCAATATAATTTTTTTCAGCTAAATAAAAATAAATTGGCAATAACTATGTAAGTCATTAATGGACCCACGAAAATACACACATATGTATGTACATACAAATGGGCTAAATTAATACTTCCACACGTGTAAACTAGCACCTACAGGCTGCTCGAGAAACATTCTTTTGATGACGATATTTTTGTTTTGTTTAATTCTCCTGGCTGCAATTTCACTGCATTTATGAAGAGATTTATGTTCAAAAGCAGAAAAACCACAATCAGTGGCCACATCAAAAACAGACAAACGAACATTGCATTGGTGAAACAGGCAAACCGCAGACAAAGCTGCAACTACATACATACAAACAACCAGTCCGGTGTCCACATCCGCAGTAAAGATAGCGAAAACAGCGATTGGTGCAAAAGGTAAAAGGCCAAACAAACCTTTAAATGACCAAACATATCGGCTCCCAACTGCCCATTGCCGCTTTTGGTACGTACATGCAATACATGGCAACGAATAGCAAAAAAGCCTTATGAAAATCAGGCTTCACATCGTCCCAGAATGGCAAAGCAAATTTACCGCGCAAATAGTACAATGTTGCATTGCAATTAAAGCTGTTTCAGGCGTCGGCACACACAAACTTACGCAGGATGTATGCATGTATGTATGTATGTATGTACATACATGTGTATGACTGCCGCCAAATTTGACGAAAAAGGAAGCACAAGTGACATTGTGGTTGACAGTAAAAACTACTTAATAATGCGAGAACGAAAAATATTTTAAATAGGTTCAAACGTTAATTTCCCCGCTTTCACTCTGCATGCGCCAGATATTGATGCGGGTGGTGTCCCACCCCGAGCAAATGACATCCATAAATTCGGACGGTATTGCTAAGCATCTGCACGTATGACAAAAAAAACGTACCCCATAATATGAAATTATGCAGTTTATTAAAAATAACACCACAACAACTCAATGGAGGTTAAATTCACCAACTGAATTAGAAATTTTATCTCTCCTGTACACCTTTAAATCAAATTAAACTTTTATGTAACTAATAACATATATGTTACTAATAAATAGTAAGGATAGTAATAAAAATAAAAAAAACAAGACGCTGATTTACTAAAAGACTGCCATAACACAAAAGACGGGGTTTGAACAAATTATGCAGAATTACTTCTTACATCAAGATCCATATACATACTGTAACAATTTAGTAATAGAACTCTTGACTATTTTCCGCGTATGAAGCAAATATGCATTTCCATTTTTGCACGATAGTGTCAATCGAAAACCATAAATGACTCTCCTGAAAATAGGCGTTTTTGAGATGTGACAGTATTTTAGTAAATAAGCGAAAATTGAATAATCGGCTCGACTGAGTTTGTATTTAAAATTTTTATCTGGCAAGCCTTTACGACTGCAGTTTGTGAAATTCTCACATCTACATGCATGGGTAAACAAATAGGATTGCACAATTTCGCTTTCCTAATGCAAGTTTAAAGGTTTTGAAAAAAAAACCGATTATTTATCTTTCTTCTTATAATTATTCATTTAGGGCTTATATCTCCTCATTTTGCAACTTCAAAAGTCTGGAATCACGCAAACTCTTCGATAAATTCTTGCTTAGTCAAGCACTTTGCCTTATGCTTATTTACACATTTCAGCTTTTCGGAGTCAAACCGTTCCTCACTATCGCACCGTAGATGCGTGAGCTTAGTCTTATCCGACTTTTCGACACATAGATAGAACTTGTTACAATCTCTGGGATCTGGGTAAATGTCATCTTCGTCACATTTGTTGTCCTTAAGCTTCTTCAAGACTTTTTTAATTAGTTCCTTTTGCTCTTTGGAGTTGCTATCGTCGTTTTCCTCATCTTGGTTGCTATCGGACTTTTCCTTTACATCTTCAGAATCTTTACTCTCCTCTAAATCTTTTTTGCCCTTCTCCGATTTCTTTTCCGTCGAAGTCTGCTCATTTTTTTCCTTTGAATCCTTGCTGTCCTCTGATTCTATTTTGGTACTTATTGATTTGTTTTCGCCCGAACTCTCCTCTTTTTGTTCCTTAGGAACTTTGTTGTCCTTTGATTTTATTCCTCTACTATTGGACTTGGGCTTTTCTTCCATGGATTCGCCTGCTTTCGACAAATTTTTGTCAGAGCCTAATTCAGTGGACTGGCTATCTCCTGACTCCTGGTTTGGCGGGTGAGATTTGGCAGGCCACACAGGCCAACCAGGCCGAACAGGTTGCACTTGGCGGTTGGGCAAGAGCTGCCATCCATTATGTCTTTCGTTTCCTCCTTTTGGTAGATTGGCATGGCCTGGTAAATTAGCGAAAACACGTCGCCACCAACTTTCATCTCTTCTACCACTGGAGTTATCAGCATAATTATGAGCGGCAAAATGTGACCAAACGGAACGGTCAGCATGTTCAGGTAACCTCGGAAGCATTGGAATATTTTTTACATGTGAATGGACTGGTGCGTTCGAAGAAACTGGGGCATTGGGATTAAATGGAGCGCTGGGGCCGACTGAAGCATTGGGATTAAATGGCCTGTTGGCATGCGCTTGTGAATTGGGATTGACTGGTGTGTCTGGAACAACTGGCCTACTCGAGCTTATAGCGGGTGTAGGCGCCCCAACAATGCCATTCACTGGCGCATTTGAATCAATTGGTGGCTTAGGGTGAACAGTTCCATTTGGACCGACTGGCAGAGGCGACGCCTGGTCTACTGGTGCTTTGGGGCCAACTGGAGCACTCGGATTCACTGGAGCACTAGGATCTACAGGCGACGCGGGGTCTACTGGTGCATTGGGGCC